CGTTCCTGTGAACAGATTTCGATTCATCAGATTTAGCTTTCCAATTGTCGCCTTCAAGTGTTCAATTAGCTTACCTTTTCAAAAAAGCCGGATGTGTTGCCCCTGTTTCCTTGCCTCAAAATTTTGCCGATCTCAAAGGCGGTCATAGTCTCAAATTTTCATGAGTTTGGGAAATCTCTCAGGATCACTCTGACCTTCTCGACACCCACCGCCGCGGAACACGCTCCGCTCCTTTCCCTTTTCACTCAAAGAGCTATTGAGTATCACGAGATTTTCACTCTGCTCTCAAGGTCTCGTTGCGTGGTCTATCAGGCCTTTCAAGCGAGAATTCTTTCGCGAGTAGCTTGATTTTAAGTATGAATCTTTTCAAACGAGTCAAAGGAGCAAAGGCTCCTTTTTGAGCGCGTTTTAGATCAAATTCTGGCGACGGTCGTGGCTTTGCAAAAGCCATAAAAATAAGATTCCTAGTACGGAGCTTAAAGACAAATTTACCTTGTTTTAAGGAAATTTCGAGAGTGTTCCTCCAAACCTTTTTGTCCGTCAAAAGCCGGGTATTTCCGGGACATGTTTTGAAATTGTGCTTTTTAGCGTGATTAGCATATTTATCGGCATGAAAAGGTAAAACATCAATTTGCAATTTTCGGAAGATCACTATTCAATTGACAATGACAAAAAGAAAAGGTGTAGTGGTTTTAAAGAGCCATCCTTTCAATTTATACTCTTTGAATCCAAAGGCGAAAGAGATTTCTCCAAATTTTGGGCAGGGAGAGCCAAACAGAGTGAGCAAAAAGAGCCTTTGAGAAAGAAGGTTCTCATGACATGCCCGCTGCTCAATCGAAAGAGAGACTGCCCGGGTGCTTAAAAAACGCAAAAGAGTGGAGCTGAGTGTCCTCGCGTTCCGCTGCGGGAGTGGCACGGAGGTCACAGGAGTACTGTTGGCGCCCTCCCTGGATCAAATTCTGGGCTGCGAGCCTTTCGAAACGATCACTTGATTTTGGGTGATTTTCGTTTTCGAGGTAATCGAGCGTAAACAAACTGCAAGGAGGGGCGATCAAATATATGTCTTGGAGGTTTTTTTTTTTGAGAAATCCAACAATTAATATGCAATTGACAAAAAGTGTAGTAAGATTAGATAGCCCTATCGGTAGTACAATTCTTTTGCGATTTTGAAGTCAAACTGACATTTCTAGCAACTGTGCCTTAAAGATGGCTGGCTTGAGGCTCAGTATCATCTACAATTTCCTTTCTTTATTCTTTCTTCTGGCAGATAATCCAGGCGATGGCAATTCACGGATGTTCGGTGCTTTCTGAGATTTCGCTCCAGTAGTCGTATTCTTAATACGACTTATTAGTCCGGACCAACCAATGCACACTGGGACAAGCAACGCGCGCTTGAGCACGCAGAATGAAAAAGTTGAACCCGAGGTTCTGCAAACAGAAGGTTGACTTGAAATTAAAGAATGTTTGATTGTACTACCGATAGAGGGATCTAATCTCAAAACACTTTTTGTCATTGGCAATTAAATAGTGATCTTCCGAAAATGGCAGAATGGCTTGTGCTTAGAAACAACGCAAAACACGTCCACGTTCCTGTGAACAGATTTCGATTCATCAGATTTAGCTTTCCAATTGTCGCCTTCAAGTGTTCAATTAGCCATTTTCAAAAAAGCCGGATGTGTTGCCCCTGTTTCTTTGCCTCAAAATTTTGCCGATCTCAAAGGCGGTCGCGGCGGGGCCGTATTTTTGACGATTTTCATGAGTTTGGGAAAACTCTCAGGATCACTCTGACCTCTTCGACACCCACCGGAACACGCTCACGACCGCTCCTTTCCCTTTTCACTCAAAGAGCTAGTGAATATCACGAGATTTTTACTCTGCTCCCAAGGTCTCTTGCGTGTTCTATCAGGCCTTTCATCCTAAAATTCTTTCGCGAGTAGCCTGATTTTAAGTATGAATCTTTTCAAACGAGTCAAAAGAGCATCGGCTCCTTTTAGAGCGCGTTTTAGATCAAATTCTAGCGACGGTCGGTGCTTTCCAAAAGCCACAGAAATAAGATTGCTAGTACGGGGCTTAAGGACAAATTTCCCTTGTTTTAGGGAAATTTCGAGAGTGTTCCTCCAAACCTTTTTGTCCGTCAAAAGCCGGGTATTTCCGGGACATGTTTTGAAATTGTGCTTTTTAAATACCGTGATTAGCATATTTATCGGCATGAAAAGGTAAAACATCAATTGGCAATTGGCAAAAACTTATCCATGAAGCACAAAAGACGAGGAAGAGAGCATGCGACACTTTAAATGGCTTTATCTTTCTCGACCGGATAGCGTCAAACTTACTTTACCATTCCGCATCCTCAGAAAATTGTCGCAGCTTTCCGAGCCCATTTGTCTTGGAAAAATCATCACGAGCATGATGGTGTCTTTTTTGGTCATGTCTGAAAAGTTAATTTTTATCGTCAATATGCTCGGATTACCTATGTCTGCTCTTAGGCACCTCGCGATCGATGGCAATTCCCGGATGTTCGGTGCTTTCTGAGATTTCGCCCCAGTAGTCGTACCCTTAATACGACTTATTGGTCTGGACCAACCATTGCAAACTGGGACGTGCAAAGCGCTCTTCAGCATGCAGAATGAAGAATTGAACCCGAGGTTCTGCAAACTTTAAGAATCTCAACCAACCGTCGGCTGGCCTCGCTAAGACAAAAATCGACATAGCGAGGAAAGCGTAGAAAAGCAAAATCCATCGGTACATCTTGCAGCCTTCTGCTAACCTAAACTAAGATTCTGTAATTTGGCTAAGCAAGTGAATTCAAATAAGTAACCAAAAGAAAAGGTGTAGTGGTTTTGAAGAGCCATCCTTTCAATTTATACTCTTTGAATCCAAAGGCGAAAGAGATTTCTCCAAATTTTGGGCAGGGAGAGCCAAACAGAGTGAGCAAAAAGAGCCTTTGAGAAAGAAGGTTCTCATGACATGCCCGCTGCTCAATCGAAAGAGAGACTGCCCGGGTGCTTAAAAAACGCAAAAGAGTGGAGCTGAGTGTCCTCGCGTTCCGCTGCGGGAGTGGCACGGAGGTCACAGGAGTACTGTTGGCGCCCTCCCTGATCAAATTATGGGCTGCGAGCCTTTCGAAACGATCGCTTGATCTTGGATGATTTTCGTTTTCGAGGTAATCGAGCGTAAACAAACTGCAAGGAGGGGCGATCAAATAAATGTCTTGGAGGTTTTTTTTTGAGAAATCCAACAATTAATATGCAATTGACAAAAAGTGTAGTAGGATTAGATAGCCCTATCGGTAGTATAATTCTTTTGCGATTTTGAAGTCAAACTGACATTTCTAGCAACTGTGCCTTAAAGATGGCTGGCTTGGAGGCTCAGTATCATCCCAAGCAACGCGCGCTTGAGCACGCAGAATGAAAAAGTTGAACCCGAGGTTCTGCAGACAGAAGGTTGACTTGAAATTAACGAATGTTTGATTGTACTACCGACAGAGGGATCTAATCTCAAAACACTTTTTGTCATTGGCAATTGAAGTGCTCTTCCGAAAATGGCAGAGTGGCTTGTGCTTAGAAACAACGCAAAACACGTCCACGTTCCTCTGAACAGATTTCGATTCATCAGATTTAGCTTTCCAAATGTCGCCTTCAAGTGTTCAATTAGCTTACCTTTTCAAAAAAGCCGGATGTGTTGCCCCTGTTTCCTTGCCTCAAAATTTTGCCGATCTCAAAGGCGGTCATAGTCTCAAATTTTCATGAGTTTGGGAAATCTCTCAGGATCACTCTGACCTTCTCGACACCCACCGCCGCGGAACACGCTCCGCTCCTTTCCCTTTTCACTCAAAGAGCTATTGAGTATCACGAGATTCTTACTCTGCTCTCAAGGTCTGGTTGCGTGGTCTATCAGGCCTTTCAAGCGAGAATTCTTTCGCGAGTAGCTTGATTTTAAGTATGAATCTTTTCAAACGAGTCAAAGGAGCAAAGGCTCCTTTTTGAGCGCGTTTTAGATCAAATTCTGGCGACGGTCGTGGCTTTGCAAAAGCCATAAAAATAAGATTGCTAGTACGGAGCTTAAAGACAAATTTACCTTGTTTTAAGGAAATTTCGAGAGTGTTCCTCCAAACCTTTTTGTCCGTCAAAAGCCGGGTATTTCCGGGACATGTTTTGAAATTGTGCTTTTTAGCGTGATTAGCATATTTATCGGCATGAAAAGGTAAAACATCAATTTGCAATTTTCGGAAGATCACTATTCAATTGCCAATGACAAAAAGAAAAGGTGTAGTGGTTTTGAAGAGCCATCCTTTCAATTTATACTCTTTGAATCCAAAGGCGAAAGAGATTTCTCCAAATTTTGGGCAGGGAGAGCCAAACAGAGTGAGCAAAAAAAGCCTTTGAGAAAGAAGGTTCTCATGACATGCCCGCTGCTCAATCGAAAGAGAGACTGCCTGGGTGCTTAAAAAACGCAAAGAGTGGAGCTGAGTGTCCTCGCGTTCCGCTGCGGGAGTGGCACGGAGGTCACAGGAGTACTGTTGGCGCCCTCCCTGGATCAAATTATGGGCTGCGAGCCTTTCGAAACGATCACTTGATTTTGGGTGATTTTCGTTTTCGAGGTAATCGAGCGTAAACAAACTGCAAGGGGGGGCGATCAAATAAATGTCTTGGAGGTTTTTTTTTGAGAAATCCAACAATTAATATGCAATTGACAAAAAGTGTAGTAAGATTAGATAGCCCTATCGGTAGTACAATTCTTTTGCGATTTTGAAGTCAAACTGACATTTCTAGCAACTGTGCCTTAAAGATGGCTGGCTTGGAGGCTCAGTATCATCTACAATTTCCTTTCTTTATTCTTTCTTCTGGCAGATAATCCAAGCGATGGCAATTCACGGATGTTCGGTGCTTTCTGAGATTTCGTTCCAGTAGTCGTATTCTTAATACGACTTATTAGTCCGGACCAACCAATGCACACTGGGACAAGCAACGCGCGCTTGAGCACGCAGAATGAAAAAGTTGAACCCGAGGTTCTGCAAACAGAAGGTTGACTTGAAATTAAAGAATGTTTGATTGTACTACCGATAGAGGGATCTAATCTCAAAACACTTTTTGTCATTGGCAATTAAATAGTGATCTTCCGAAAATGGCAGAATGGCTTGTGCTTAGAAACAACGCAAAACACGTCCACGTTCCTGTGAACAGATTTCGATTCATCAGATTTAGCTTTCCAATTGTCGCCTTCAAGTGTTCAATTAGCCATTTTCAAAAAAGCCGGATGTGTTGCCCCTGTTTCTTTGCCTCAAAATTTTGCCGATCTCAAAGGCGGTCGCGGCGGGGCCGTATTTTTGACGATTTTCATGAGTTTGGGAAAACTCTCAGGATCACTCTGACCTCTTCGACACCCACCGGAACACGCTCACGACCGCTCCTTTCCCTTTTCACTCAAAGAGCTAGTGAATATCACGAGATTTTTACTCTGCTCCCAAGGTCTCTTGCGTGTTCTATCAGGCCTTTCATCCTAAAATTCTTTCGCGAGTAGCCTGATTTTAAGTATGAATCTTTTCAAACGAGTCAAAAGAGCATCGGCTCCTTTTAGAGCGCGTTTTAGATCAAATTCTAGCGACGGTCGGTGCTTTCCAAAAGCCACAGAAATAAGATTGCTAGTACGGGGCTTAAGGACAAATTTCCCTTGTTTTAGGGAAATTTCGAGAGTGTTCCTCCAAACCTTTTTGTCCGTCAAAAGCCGGGTATTTCCGGGACATGTTTTGAAATTGTGCTTTTTAAATACCGTGATTAGCATATTTATCGGCATGAAAAGGTAAAACATCAATTTGCAATTTTCGGAAGATCACTATTCAATTGACAATGACAAAAAGAAAAGGTGTAGTGGTTTTAAAGAGCCATCCTTTCAATTTATACTCTTTGAATCCAAAGGCGAAAGAGATTTCTCCAAATTTTGGGCAGGGAGAGCCAAACAGAGTGAGCAAAAAGAGCCTTTGAGAAAGAAGGTTCTCATGACATGCCCGCTGCTCAATCGAAAGAGAGACTGCCCGGGTGCTTAAAAAACGCAAAAGAGTGGAGCTGAGTGTCCTCGCGTTCCGCTGCGGGAGTGGCACGGAGGTCACAGGAGTACTGTTGGCGCCCTCCCTGGATCAAATTCTGGGCTGCGAGCCTTTCGAAACGATCACTTGATTTTGGGTGATTTTCGTTTTCGAGGTAATCGAGCGTAAACAAACTGCAAGGAGGGGCGATCAAATATATGTCTTGGAGGTTTTTTTTTGAGAAATCCAACAATTAATATGCAATTGACAAAAAGTGTAGTAAGATTAGATAGCCCTATCGGTAGTACAATTCTTTTGCGATTTTGAAGTCAAACTGACATTTCTAGCAACTGTGCCTTAAAGATGGCTGGCTTGGAGGCTCAGTATCATCTACAATTTCCTTTCTTTATTCTTTCTTCTGGCAGATAATCCAGGCGATGGCAATTCACGGATGTTCGGTGCTTTCTGAGATTTCGCTCCAGTAGTCGTATTCTTAATACGACTTATTAGTCCGGACCAACCAATGCACACTGGGACAAGCAACGCGCGCTTGAGCACGCAGAATGAAAAAGTTGAACCCGAGGTTCTGCAAACAGAAGGTTGACTTGAAATTAAAGAATGTTTGATTGTACTACCGATAGAGGGATCTAATCTCAAAACACTTTTTGTCATTGGCAATTAAATAGTGATCTTCCGAAAATGGCAGAATGGCTTGTGCTTAGAAACAACGCAAAACACGTCCACGTTCCTGTGAACAGATTTCGATTCATCAGATTTAGCTTTCCAATTGTCGCCTTCAAGTGTTCAATTAGCTTACCTTTTCAAAAAAGCCGGATGTGTTGCCCCTGTTTCCTTGCCTCAAAATTTTGCCGATCTCAAAGGCGGTCGCGGCGGGTATTTTTGACGATTTTCATGAGTTTGGGAAATCTCTCAGGATCACTCTGACCTTCTCGACACCCACCGCCGCGGAACACGCTCACGCCGCTCCTTTCCCTTTTCACTCAAAGAGCTAGTGAATATCACGAGATTTTTACTCTGCTCCCAAGGTCTCGTTGCGTGTTCTATCAGGCCTTTCAACCCAAAATTCTTTCGCGAGTAGCTTGATTTTAAGTATGAATCTTTTCAAACGAGTCAAAAGAGCAACGGCTCCTTTTTAGAGCGCGTTTTAGATCAAATTCTAGCGACGGTCGTTGCTTTCAAAAAGCCATAGAAATAAGATTCCTAGTACGGGGCTTAAGGACAAATTTCCCTTGTTTTAGGGAAATTTCGAGAGTGTTCCTCCAAACCTTTTTTGTCCGTCAAAAGCCGGGTATTTCCGGGACATGTTTTGAAATTGTGCTTTTTAAATACCGTGATTAGCATATTTATCGGCATGAAAAGGTAAAACATCAATTGGCAATTGGCAAAACTTATCCATGAAGCACAAAAGACGAGGAAGAGAGCATGCTACACTTTAAATGGCTTTATCTTTCTCGACCGGATAGCGTCAAACTTACTTTACCATTCCGCATCCTCAGAAAATTGTCGCAGCTTCCGAGCCCATTTGTCTTGGAAAATCATCACGAGCATGATGGTTCTTTGGTCTGAAAGTTACTTTTTATCGTCAATATGCTCGGATTACCTATGTCGCTCTGGCACCTCGCGATCGATGGCAATTCCCGGATGTTCGGTGCTTTCTGAGATTTCGCCCCAGTAGTCGTACCCTTAATACGAGTTATTGGTCTGGACCAACCATTGCAACGGGACGTGCAAGCGCTCTCAGCATGCAGAATGAAGAATGAACCCGGGTTCTGCAACTTTAGAATCTCAACCAACCGTCGGCTGGCCTCGCTAAGACAATCGACATGCGAGGAAAGCGTAGAAGCATCCATCGGTCTCTTGCAGCCTTCTGCTACCTAAACTGTTCTGTAATTTGGCTATGCAAGTGAATTCAATATGACAAAAAGAAAAGGTGTAGTGGTTTTGAAGAGCCATCGTTTCAATTTATACTCTTTGAATCCAAAGGCGAAAGAGATTTCTCCAAATTTTGGGCAGGGAGAGCCAAACAGAGTGAGCAAAAAGAGCCTTTGAGAAAGAAGGTTCTCATGACATGCCCGCTGCTCAATCGAAAGAGAGACTGCCCTGGTGCTTAAAAAACGCAAAAGAGTGGAGCTGAGTGTCCTCGCGTTCCGCTGCGGGAGTGGCACGGAGGTCACAGGAGTACTGTTGGCGCCCTCCCTGATCAAATTATGGGCTGCGAGCCTTTCGAAACGATCACTTGATCTTGGGTGATTTTCGTTTTCGAGGTAATCGAGCGTAAACAAACTGCAAGGAGGGGCGATCAAATAAATGTCTTGGAGGTTTTTTTTTGAGAAATCCAACAATTAATATGCAATTGACAAAAAGTGTAGTAAGATTAGATAGCCCTATCGGTAGTACAATTCTTTTGCGATTTTGAAGTCAAACTGACATTTCTAGCAACTGTGCCTTAAAGATGGCTGGCTTGGAGGCTCAGTATCATCTACAATTTCCTTTCTTTATTCTTTCTTCTGGCAGATAATCCAAGCGATGGCAATTCACGGATGTTCGGTGCTTTCTGAGATTTCGCTCCAGTAGTCGTACTCTTAATACGACTTATTGGTCCGGATCAACCAATGCACACTGGGACAAGCAACGCGCGCTTGAGCATGCAGAATGAAAAATTGAACCCGAGGTTCTGCAAACAGAAGGTTGACTTGAAATTAACGAATGTTTGATTGTACTACCGACAGAGGGATCTAATCTCAAAACACTTTTTGTCATTGGCAATTGAAGTGCTCTTCCGAAAATGGGAGAGTGGCTTGTGCTTAGAAACAACGCAAAACACGTCCACGTTTCGGTGAACAGATTTCGATTCATCAGATTTAGCTTTCCAATTGTCGCCTTCAAGTTTTCAATTAGCCATTTTCAAAAAAGCCGGATGTGTTGCCCCTGTTTCTTTGCCTCAAAATTTTGCCGATCTCAAAGGCGGTCGCGGCGGGGCCGTATTTTTGACGATTTTCATGAGTTTGGGAAAACTCTCAGGATCACTCTGACCTTCTCGACACCCACCGCCGTAGAACACGCTCACTCACGGCCGCTCCTTTCCCTTTTCACTCAAAGAGCTAGTGAATATCACGAGATTTTTACTCTGCTCCCAAGGTCTCTTGCGTGGTCTATCAGGCCTTTCATCCTAAAATTCTTTCGCGTATGAATCTTTTCAAACGAGTCAAAAGAGCATCGGCTCCTTTTTGAGCGCGTTTTAGATCAAATTCTAGCGACGGTCGGCGCTTTCCAAAAACCATAGAAATAAGATTGCTTGACGGAGCTTAAAGACAAATTTCCCTTGTTTTAGGGAAATTTCGAGAGTGTTCCAAACCTTTTTGTCCGTCAAAAGCCGGGTATTTCCGGGACATGTTTTGAAATTGTGCTTTTTAAATACCGTGATTAGCATATTTATCGGCATGAAAAGGTAAAACATCAATTGGCAATTGGCAAAAACTTATCCATGAAGCACAAAAGACGAGGAAGAGAACATGCTACATTTTAAATGGCTTTATCTTTCTCGACCGGATAGCGTCAAACTTACTTTACCATTCCGCATCCTCAGAAAATTGTCGCAGCTTTCCGAGCTCATTTGTCTTGGAAAAATCATCACGAGCATGATGGTGTCTTTGTTGGTCATGTCTGAAAAGTTAATTTTTATCGTCAATAAGCTAGGATTACCTATGTCGGCTCTTAGGCACCTCGCGATCGATGGCAATTCCCGGGTGTTCGGTGCTTTCTGAGATTTCGCCCCAGTAGTCGTACCCTTAATTGGTCTGGACCAACCATTGGCAAAAGCTTATCCATGAAGCACAAAAGACGAGGAAGAGAGCATGCTACACTTTAAATGGCTTTATCTTTCTCGACCGGATAGCGTCAAACTCACTTTACCATCCAATAGAAAACCAGTGTATTCTAGCTTTATTCTTTTTACAAGGTAAAATCCAAGGGAAAACCATAAGATTCTAGCCTTATGCTTTTTACCAGGTAAAATCAATAGAAAAACAGTAGATTCTGGCGTGATTCTCTTAACAAGGTAATATTTACTGGAAAACCAGTAGATTCTGGCGTGATTCTCTTAACAAGGTAATATCTACTGGAAAACCAGTAGATTCTGGCGTTATTCTCTTAACAAGGTGAAATCCACAGGAAAACCTGTAGATTCTGGCTTTATTCTTTTCACAAGGTAAAATCCAATGGAAACCAGTAGATTCTGGCTTTACTCTCTTTACAAGGTAAAATCCACAGGAAAACCCAGTAGATTCTGGCTTCACTCTTTTTACAAAGTAAAATCCATAGGAAAACCAGTAGATTCTGGCTTTATTCTTTTTACAAGGTGAAATCCAAAGGAAAACCAGTAGATTCTGGCTTTATTCTATTTACAAGGTAATCCAAGGAAAACCAGAAGATTCTGGCCTTATGCTTTTCACGAGGTAAAATCTAATGGAAAACCAGTAGATTCTGGCATTATTCTTTTACAAGGTAAAATCCAATGGAAACCAGTAGATTCTGGCTTCACTCTTTTAACAAGGTAAAATCCACAGGAAAACCAGTAGATTCTGGCATTATTCTTTTTACAAGGTAAAATCTACTGGAAAACCAGTAGATTCTGGCGTTATTCTCTTAACAAGGTGAAATCCACAGGAAAACCTGTAGATTCTGGCTTTATTCTTTTCACAAGGTAAAATCCAATGGAAACCAGTAGATTCTGGCTTTACTCTCTTTACAAGGTAAAATCCACAGGAAAACCAGTAGATTCTGGCTTCATTCTTTTAACAAGGTAAAATCCACAGGAAAACCAGTAGATTCTGGCTTCACTCTTTTTACAAAGTAAAATCCATAGGAAAACCAGTAGATTCCGACTTTATTCTTTTTTCAAGGTAAAATTCATTAGAAAACTAGTGGATTCTGGCCCTATTCTTTTTACAAGGTAAAATCCAATGGAAAACCAGTAGATTGTGGCTTTATGCTTTTTACAAGGGTAAAAAGAGTGAAGCCAGAATCTACTGGTTTTCCTGTGGATTTTACCTTGTAAAGAGAGTAAAGCCCGTATCTACTGGTTTTCCATTGGATTGTACCTTGTACAAAGAATAAAGCGAGAATCTACTGGTTTCCATTAGATTTTACCTTGTGAAAAGAATAAAGCCAGAATCTACTGGTTTTCCTGAGGATTTTACCTTGTTAAGGGGATAACTCCAGAATCTACCGGTTTTCCATTGGATTTTAACTTGTAAAAAGAATAAAGCCAGAATCTACTGGTTTTCCATTGGTTTTACCTGAATCGCAAGCACCTCATTGATTTATATTTATGGGTTTATTGGGATAGGGTTTTTAAACCTTTTTCGAAGAAAGCTAATGGTTTGAACTGAGTTTATCCAACCTAACAAATTCTCGATTTATTACTGCCGGAAGTGTTCTGTTTTTAAGAACGCCAAAACAGTTTACAGTTTCGTTGTTTTCCTCCAATCCTCCATCCAATACAATGGGAATTTCAAACTCTAGACTCAAAATTGAATCTGTGACAATGCAATAATCTCTTGTTCATGTTCTTGTTCTTGTTCTTGTTCTTCTTCTTCTTGTTCTTGTTCTTGTTCTTCTTGTTCATGTTCTTCTTCTTCTTGTTTTTGTTCTTTTTCTTGTCCTTGTTCTTGTTCTTGTTCTTGTTCTTGTTCGTGATCTTGCTCTTTTTCTTGTTCTTCTTCTTGTTCATCTTCTTGTTCTTGTTCTTGTCCTTGTTCTTGTTCTTGTTCGTGATCTTGCTCTTGTTCTTGTTTTTGTTCTTGTTCTTGTTCTTGTCCTTGTTCTTGTTCCTTGTTCTTGTTCTTGTTCTTTGTTCTTGTTCTTGTCCTTCTTCTTGTTCTTCTTCTTGTTCTTGTTGTTGTTCTCTTCTTGTTCTTGTTCTTCTTCTTTGTTCTTGTTCTTGGTCTTGTTCTTGTTCTTGTGTTGTTCTTGTTCGTGATCTGCTCTTGTTCTTGTTCTTCTTCTTGTTCTTCTTCTTGTTCTTGTTCTTCTTCTTGTTCTTGTTCTTGCTCCTTGTTCCTTGTTCTTACTTATTCTTCTTGTCCTTCTTCTTGTTCTTGTTCTTGTCCTTGTCTCTTGTTCTTGTTCTTGTTCTTGTTCTTGTTCTTCTTCTTGTTCTTGTTATTGTTCTTCTTCTTGTCCTTGTTCTTGTTCTTGTTCGTGATCTTGCTCTTGTTCTTGTTCTTCTTCTTGTTCTTCTTATTGTTCTTGTTCTTCTTCTTGTTCTTGTTCTTGTCCTTGTTCTTGTTCTTGTTCTTCTTCTTGTTCATCTTCTTGTTCTTGTCCTTGTTCTTGTCCTTGTTCTTGTCCTTGTTCTTGTTCTTGTTCTTGTTCTTCTTCTTCTTGTTTTTGTTCTTTTTCTTGTCCTTGTTCTTGTTCTTGTTCTTGTTCTTGTTCGTGATCTTGCTCTTTTTCTTGTTCTTCTTCTTGTTCATCTTCTTG